CTGCACGGATGGCGTAGTGGTTTAAGTGGTCGCCACGCCGCTTCCTACTACACCGAGTGTTGTGGGTTCAAACACCACATGGGACGACACTTTGTGTGATCAACAAATTATTGTTCTGAGACTAGGGCCCGTATTTTGAAAGGTGTCTCAGTCGTGAATCTAGTCTTAAAACTAATTTTAAGTAGAGATTTTATTATTGAATGTCACTTAAAACGAGATTCACCGATCCATACTCAAGTGAGTGAGAGCTTATTTTAGAACGATGTTTATGTCAAAATCTTCACTCAGGTATAGATTTTGACAGGTGTGATCATTGTTCACCTGAGACAAGCTGAAACTATTCTCAAGCATAAGTGCTACTAAAGTAATATTTTAGTGGAAAATGAATATGTTTTACGATGATTTGTTTCTGGACAGTTACGAAGGATTTTTTAACTTGGATATCCCAAATATTCCACGCAGATATTTACGCGATGCGCAAGACCCATACGCAATGAATGAGATGGATTTTAAAATTAGATACAGGTTTCATCAAGAAACTGTGAAAAATTAAATTTTACCAATAATTGCTGGTGATCTGGTAAAATTAAATAAAAGAGGGCTACCATTAGCCCCAGAACTGCAGATTTTAATATGTCTGAGGTTCTATGCCACAGCCTCATTCCAGGTAAATCAGTACTTTGATGTTAGTTTAAAAAGAAATAAATTTTTAATCAAAATAGTTTTGTTTAATATTATTAAAATTTATTTTATTTTCAGATAGTTTGTGGTGATCTACTCAGTGGTGGATTAGCCACGTAGCAAGAGTAGCAAATGCTACGGGCCCCGCGCATTTGGGGGCCCCCGCTCTTTCTGACCGTAAAAAAGTATCTACTTACTCGTATTTCGATCGGAGTGTGAAAATATTTTTTCAAATCAATAAAGCCAAAAGTCTTATCACGAAAGAGTTGCATCTAAATGTCAAACTATAATTTGACGGGCCTGTTGGTTTAGTGGTTAGTGAGCCTGCTAAGCCAGAGGTCGTGGGTTTGATTCCCACCCAGGACAAATAATTGTGTGATAAGCACGATGATTTGTTCTGTGCCTGGGTGTAATTTATCTATAAGATGTATATATTGAGAAATATAAAAGTATGTTTATCAGTAGTCTGTTTAGAATAGTACAGGCTCTGCCTAGTTAGGAAACATACATGTTTTAAGTAAAAAATTTAAAGTTTTAGTACATTTCTAAAATTATGTTTTGCACTGCGACCCAACGCTGCGTGTGACGCCCAAGCCAAGCAAATTGCCCGCGTGTGCTGACTCACGTCCTCACTGCAATCGGAGTGATGACAGGCGGGATTCAATTCCCCCCTATCGAACGATTGCAGAATCAGCTGTACCCAGAAAGAACCTGCTCTGCTCTGGACGCTTTGCCCACTCAACGATTGGCCTCAACTCAACGACCGGTTGGAGTGCCTCTACGGCGGCAAAGCGAGCTCGTGGAGCCTCCAGGCTGGACCGACCAACGAGCCATCGTGGCTCGGCGAGAGGCTTTACGTCCTTCGCGCTCCTCTTCGGGTGGGGGCCGAGCACTTACTTCCCAAATTACACAAGAGTGTTCTATAACCATGCTATAACCATGGTTCTAACTACCAATGCCCTCTAAGGGCGCCATAATAAAATATGTTTTATAAGCTCAGACTTATTTTAACAGTGGCGTGCAATCATTTTTTGTATTAGGCTCTTGGATCCGTCTTATCCAGGACCACCTTTAAGCTAACCACCAAAGAGACACCCCAGGTCCCCCTCCTACCCACAGACAACCAAAGTGTCGTTGGCGTAACAGATTACGCCCAGCCCGAGGGTAAGTCTCCTCGAAGGGCCTAGTCGTACCCAATGTTCCACAGGAGGGCCCAAGACCAGACCCTGTTCAACACCACATGACATGGGCCGACGTCTCAAAATTGAAACAAAACCTATAGGGTTTGCTTCTTGAAACTTAAAACAAGCCCAAGTAGGGTTTGTTTCAAATTTGAGACTGGTATAACCAACCCGTCTGGCCAGCGTAGCATAGCAAACAAAAATCTCCTTTCTAAGGAGAAGCCCATATCCAACAATAGACTGTTGAGGATGATGATAAATACCATAAACTAGATAACCTAAAACAACCCAAGGGGCCCTTGGTAGAATTTGCTACAGGCCCCGCGCTGTCTTAATCCGGCACTGGATCTACTACATGTATCTCAGCCAGCAGTCTCAAATGTAATAGCCAAAATTTCTTTGTTATTGGCACAAAAACATCATCAATTTATAAAATATCCCACAAACAGTACAGAAAAGACTACTCAAAGAGGAGCTTTCACCTGCCTTGGGCAGTATAATCACCACTCTGGTCTGCGAAACATTGATGGTGCAATTGATTGCACTCATATTAAAATAGTAGACACTCCAGGAGTACAACATCATGAAGTTTTCAGAAATCGAAAATCTTATTTTTCCATCAATGTCCAAGTGAGTATTGGTACATGTTAATCATATAATATGTACTAGTATAGTATAATGTGTATATGTATTTTAAACACACTGCCCACTCAAGAACTAATTCATTATTATTTATTGGTTTCAATAATTTGAAAATTTGATTGAATTCGTGTGGCAATGCTTATTATTTATAATTAAATAATATTTTTGATTTTAGGCAGTTGTTGGACCATCAGGGGAATTTCTGGATATAGTGGCACGATGGGCTGGGAGTACTCATGACAGCCGTATATTTCAAATGAGTTCATTAAAAATGAAATACATTCAAAGGATCCATGATGGGATACTAGTAGGGGTTCGTGGTTATCCTTGCTTACCTTACCTCTTAACACCTGTGAACTCACCAACCACCTTCTCTGAACAAGTATAAAACAAAGTGCATGCCAGAACACGTAATGTTGTAGAAAGGACATTTGGTATGTGGAAAAGAAGATTTCCCTGTCTACGTAGAGGTTTAGGCAATAAGCTATCTACGGTATCAAATATTATAGTGGCATGTACCATTCTGTTCAACATTGGTCTTCGTCTAAATGATGAGATATCATCTGAGCATGAAGGCGTCAATGATCAAATTGATGAACCAGAGCCACCAACAGACCAAGCAGCCAATGTAGGATCAGAAGATGGATTTGCCATACGCCAAGCAATTATTGATGGTTATAATTAAATTATATTTAACATAAAAAATATTATATTAGTTTTATTTTTCAAGACTGATATTTTTAGAATGCCTAAACTTTCCATTAGTCAAATATGGCTGATAACTGAAAGTTTTATGTGAATAATTTATTCAAATACTTACTAAAGCTATACACTATAAAGGGTATATAAAAGACCACTTATATAGTTTTTAATTACATAAAGTTTGATATACCCAGCAATATAATAACATTAATAAATATTTTTAATGTATAATTCAATTCAATTCAATTCTTTATTAATAAAATATAAGCATCACAGTATACACCAAATCGCTTATATCTATGCTAATTTTAACAAAAATAAACTAAATACTATTACAATTTTAAAACTCAGACCATCAAAAAAGAAACAACATAAAATTTGTAAACAAAAACAACCTTACATCAACTTAGGAACTATAAAATTACTCTTTAAAATTTAAATATGTATAAATATGTTTTAAAATTATGTTCTGGGAGTCGAAAAATATATCTGCATCTGGACTATTCTGAAGGAACTCATTGATAAGCCTAATTGCTATAGCAGTGGGGCTATGGTCAGCCTGGGGAGAGCGCCACGTAGGCGGACAGCACAGGAGTCTATGTTGTCGTCTTCCAACGGCACGCATATATTGGTCGGGAACATAAAAATGTATTGTTTCCCGTATAAAAGGGCTATCTACCTTATTCGCCAGTATCAAACAATAATGCATTATATGTGTAGATTCCCGTCTGAGTTGAAGTGTATCTAAACCCACCATTCCTGACACAAACAGTGAAGGATAGAGAAAGGGGTAGTATCCATACTGACGCTTATATAGGTATCTACAGAATTTACGTTGAATTTTTTCTATCATAATATTATACAACGACTCCCGTGGACCCCAGACTATTGCATTATATTCTAATTTACTACGCACATAAGTATTGTATATTTGTATTATAACTTGAGTGTTCTTAAATTGTGAAGATATTCTGATGATGAAACCAAGGCATTTATTAGCGTCTTTGCATATTTTAAGTATCTGGTCATGAAAATTTAATTTGTTATCCATTGTTACTCCCAAATCCTTGATTGAGGGAACACGTTCCATTGGGGCGCCTGCAAGATGATATGTATTTGTAATCGGATTACGGGATCGAGAAAAAGTGATAGTTTTACATTTGGAATTATTAAATGATAACTTGTTTTTTAGACTCCACTTAACTACAGCGTCAATATCATGTTGTAGGGCCAAACAATCCTTAGCTTCATTTACAGAAAGGTACAGTTTGAGATCATCGGCAAACATCAGACATTTTGCATTTAATATAACATTAGGTAAATCATTGATCATTATCAGAAATTGCATAGGACCTAAGGTACTACCCTGACTGACCCCTGATCGAGTATAATATTCTTCCGATTTATATCCTTCTACCTTAACAAACTGCTTACGATCTTTTAAGTAATCTGCCATAATATCAATATAATATAATATGCAATAATATCTTAGTACTGTAATACTTGTGAATAACTATTATTCACATAATTTTGTTATACCCAACAATATTATTATCATTAATATATATTTTTAATGTAAAATAATGTCCTAGGTAAAGGTAAAACAATCAATAAGGTTAACTTTTGAAATAAAATACATAATTTACTTATGAGATCAGTTATTATATTTAAAAATAATCAACATATTAACAACAAAACAATATTATTATAGGTAAACACAACACATACTAACAAAAAATATAACAATCTGGACCAAAATTACAGACTCTCCTAATAAAGATACCTTATCTAATATCAGCACAGTTCTCTTTGTGCCAACTCTGCTCTAGCTTTAGCTTCTCTTAGGTTTTCTTTCAATATCTCCACTTCTAATGAATGCTTTTCTTCTTCAAATTTTTTTCTCATACTGTGTACTTCTTCGGCCCTTTTCTCTCTACTTAAGTGCTCACGTTTTAAAATTTGCACCCTTAATTTTTTTTCATTAAATGAGTAATTGAAGGCATGATGTGTTGCTGGTGGGAAGTCAGTTTGTGGTGACATCGGAGTGGTTTGTGGGTCATTTTGTGGTGGAGATGTTGGTGGTAGCAGACAAGATGTGGATGGTCCTATTATATTGGTGTTTGCAGGTGCAGATAATTGTTCTGGGTTATAAATGAGAGGTGTGGATACTTCTGGCTGGGTTTGGTATATTTCTGTAACATAATATAATAGATATTATTAGAAATACATGTTATTTCATGTAATTTAACAAATAATCTAATCTATATACATATTTAAAAATGAGTCTATATGCCTGTATGACAATATGAATTCTGACCAATATATTAACTTACATTGAACATATTGATCAGGAAGAAAGCTGAGCTTTACAAAATAGCCTCACCATGTAAATAACACTCATACAAAAGTATGACACTATTTCTTTAAAACCACACAGAAGTAAATGGCAGTCTGTATTATCTACCTCCTAGGAAGGCAGGCATTGGCATGAGATTATATGTACATGTAGGTATCTGTCTCCTAATACTCACCTAGAGTATCAGAGTCAAGAGCGTTTGGTATCTCTACTAGGAGAGCTGGTGCAATTTCTGCAATATTTGCATCGATTACAGCATCAGGACAAGGACCTCCTCCACCTGTGGCCAATCTGTGCTGTCGTTCTCTTGTAAGAGAGTCCCTATGGCGTGTTTTGAGGTTGGTCCAAAGGCGGCGTAATTGTTCTCCTGTAGCCTGCAGCATAAGCAGAAAGACAAAGATATAGGAATATTTACTTATGACAAATTACATTTAAAAACACAAAATATACTTACTGATTCTGTTACAACAGCTGAGGTATTAAACCTGTCTGCAATATCAACCTAGGCTTGCTTTTTTAAGTTGGCATGTATGTTGTCGGTTTTCTTATTTTCGATTATATGTCTATACGATTTCAAAATTTCTAAAAGTAGGTTTTTCTCCTGAAAGACAATAAATTTGTATTATAACATTTTATAAAACGTACAAATGTACAAAAGGAAACTAAACAAGAGACCGAAATCAATGCTTGGAAAACACACAGAAACTTTTGTACCTAAATGAATTTAGACTGAAGGTGCAAGCCACAATCTTGTTTTTAACCAATATTCTTAATTCGCTGTTCAGTGGTTCAATTAATATAATAATTCAATTCACTTCTATGAAAGTAAAAGTAACATCGGAGGCTGGTCTATTTATGTAATTTTAAATGAGCATTTTAATTCATTCATATTTTATACATACCTGTGTTATAAAGTTCTTCTTTTTCCCACTTGACATATTAAATTACTTGTTTAAATTAAAATCAATTTCAACTTGGGTTTATGATAAAAGTGTAATATATTAAATAATTTAAATCGTAAATCAAATATATAATTTAAGTTGAACTCGACTCAAAAATGAGTGACAAGTGCTGGTGGTAAATAATTTGCACGTTCCGTTACAGTTTACAGTTAACTATATTTAATATACCATAAATTATATATACATACAATCCTATTTATTATATTTTATTTGAGGCAGGCAACAAGATTAATGAGTTTACATGGTTACTTGCCAATAGTAGGTATAAAGTATTCAAATTCACAGTAATTATGTGTGTTTGAGATAATTATTTTTTAAATTAACTGCGTGGAACGGAGTAAAAAGTTTCATCATGTGGAAATGTAATTGAGAACAGACTGTAAGTTCAAATCAATTCTTGAAACTAGTTTCAACTGAGTAAAACTTAAAACGCGTTCTATAATAAGATCGATACTTAAGTTTTGATCTCCACTTAAAACTAGTTTCAGGCAATCAGAGTTCAACCAATACTTGAGACGTCTTTTAAAATACGGGCCTAAGTGTTCTTTGTGTCCGTTTTATGTATGTTTGTTAAGTCCCCCGTGACACAGGAATATATTCCTAATGCGGGCGTTGTCTATAAAAACAAAAAAATATGTGATACTAACATTCGTGAATACAGAGTTGTGAATTTTAAGGCGGTTTCACATTATGCGAGGCATACGAGCGCATTGCGTGCAAAGCCTACCTTCATTGTATATTCATAAAGTGCGCACGCGCTACTTGAGTGCGTGACGGCGTATGTCGGTAATGTTCCTCGAATAAGTGTCCAGTGCAAACAGTCTATGCTTGTATGGACGTTTGTAAGGCCATTTCGTCAGTCTATCTTCAGTTGGTTTTATTTAGCTTTCCCTGTTTGTTGTTATTTCGGGTCAAATTTAGGGATCAAAATTTTACTTCTTTCATGTTGATAGATTAATCAGATATTTGGTAGACTATTAGTTATTATAAGAAGGCAATTGAATATTGCTGGTTAAATTGCAACAAATATTCAAACGAACTTCACGAATACACCATTTAAAATTACAAATCAAAAATGTACGAACTAAATACTAAAACTTAAGAAAACATTTAAAATCAAACGGTTCATTTGAAAATAAATGTAATAATAATTATGTCCGTGTGGTGACGGATTAAGAATACGGAGTGTCATCACCCCTGTTCATCCCGTGGGTGTCGTAAGACAACTATGGGAGCAAACTGCGCAGGACAACAGCACTGCAAAGAGAAGGAAAACTTGAAACAAACCGTATACCATCCCGTCTGGGGACGTGGTATAGTAGGAGAGGTTCTAAGGAGAGGCCTATGTCCAGCAGTAGACTGTTAAAGGCTGTTGATGATGATAATTATATTAAACCTAAACTAATACTTTATGTTTTAAAATCTAAAATATAATTAGGTAGATCTTAAGTACACTTAAGATCACACAGTAGATTTTAAGTCACACCACTCTTCTCTCATTCTAAGGCAGTCATTATTTCTCATTATTCAAAATCGTCGAGCATGTGAAATATCTATTAACAGCCAACCGTTCATAAATGCTATTTAAATATTTACTTGCGTTACTTTACATCCCGTTTTAAATGGCAAAATATGTTTCCGCCTTTAAATTATGTTGGAGACAAATTTGAGTCTCATTTGCTTCTTATGACACCTTTAACAAATTGCATTAGTTCAAGGTGAACTGCATTAAGTAAAATCGCGTTGTTTAACATTATACGTGGGTAGTGGAAAATTTGTTACTTGTTTATTTATTTATTAAGGCATATTTACAGAATAAACACAGACATTCATTTACATAATTATTTCAAACTAAGTTCACGTGCTACTCTAATTACAAATATGCACAGCATTCACATATAGACAACATAATAATTATAAAAAATCAAAATAGCAACTTTACCATACAACTAAAACTTAACTAAAAGCACTACTTCACGAGATCAGCAGACTAGATTATACTGGTAATGTTTATCAGATTTTTTTTGGTTATAACTCATATTTTATTCCGCCGCTACTTTGTTTACCTTATACGGTGTTTAAAGATATAATAATTCATAGAAATTCGTACTAAACATAATATATTGTTTATTTTACTATTTAATATTAGGTCTTTACCTATGAAGTTAGAAGTGAAATCTGTTGGGGCAAGGGCCGGTGAGTACATTGGGTGACGGAGAGCTTCCAGCTGTAACTCTTGTAGCTTTGCGATGGTCTTTTGTAAAGTGTGAGCTCATGCGTTGTCGTGGAAAAGCAATGGGAAAGAGCGTTCTCCATTATTGTTTGCAATTCTAGGCAATAGACATCTGCCGTTATAAAAATCCGGCACTGGTCCACCAGACAGTCACCATCATCTTCCTATGGGTAATCTGTTTTTAGTGCTCTGATTAGGTGCTGTACCTGGGTCCACCCACTGAGACGAACGCTTACGGTTGTCGTACAGGAACCACTTTTCATCGCAGGTAACAATTTGTTTCAGAATTCCCTATTTTCTGTGTCGATTCAGTAGTGCTATGCATGGTTCGACGCGTGTCTCGCTGATGGTCGCTTAGTTCGTGGGACACCCACTTATCAAGGTTTTTTATCTTTCCTTCCTTTCTTTATCTTTTCTTTTATTGTTTGACACTGACTCCAAAGTCCGCTCCACTCCACTCCAGAGTTGGATCCGCTTCTACTATCCCCTGCAATTCGTCGTTGTCGACTAGAGTTACCGGCCACTGCGAGGCTCTCCAACTCAACATTTCCAGATCTAAAACGATTGAACCAATAATGGTCTGTGTTAATACCAACAGGGTTAGGCCCGTACACGTCGTTAATGTTTCGTGTTGTTTGCGTAGCGATATTTCTAAGTAGGAACTCACATTCGAAAATTTTATGAATTTTCAGTTTATCTCTTCGATCAATAATAGTACTATTATTACCGAAGGTTTATCCATGGCGTCAAAAACTACCTCAATTTCACGAAAACAAAACATTAAACAAAAGAGCGTACTCCTTCCTAAAAGACCTGCAACGCTTTTGTGACTCCTGAGTTGTAGACGTTCACTTTCCATCAGGTGACCCGTCTGCTCGTCTGCCCCCTCTAACATAAAAATAAACTATCTAAAAGAAATCACTTTATTTTAAATTAAAATAACCTGGCTTCTGAATAAAATTTATTTGAATTTCGAATTGTATTCCAATCCACAGATAATTAAATCTGAAATTGCTGGTTTCAAAAATCTTCAACTTCATAGGTTTTTTGCTAAAATAAATATCTAAATTTATAAAATATTCGATAATATAGAAATTTCAAATAAATCAAAGTGAGAAATAAGTCAAGTGAAAAATATTATTTTGTACTACAGTCTAGTTAAATATTTACAATAAATAAATATCAACGAATACTTTCTCAATTCTTAAGCGTACTTAAAGTTTCTAAGAAGGAGAGGGGCAGAAAGCTTTTTTTTTTAAATAGCATGCGATATTAATTTAAAAATTATTTGAAAACGGCAATATGAAGTCAAAGTCATACTCTCTTTATTTCATATATATTTTTAAATTGTTTGAAATCGTCTTTATGTAGACAATCTCTGTTTTGTCAAATATGAAGCAAATAAATTTAACAAAAATCGAACCCAAAAAAATGATGATATGCCTATGCCGATCTACAACCGCCCATTTCCATGGGGTTGAGCCTTATGAGAAGAAAGGGCAAACAAACTCATGGCCACTCTTTTGCAATTCACAGATAGATAAATGCCACTATTAAATATACCACAAGATTGTTTTGATGTGTGCCAGTATGTCCGTTATTAAGGACTAAAAGGTAAGAAGACAATGAAGAGAAAACAAGATTAAGAAAAAAAAAGAATAAAAGAGAAAATGAAGTGAAACATAAAAAATAGAAAAAATAATAATATTAAAAAACACACTAGAAGTTTTATATGTTATGGTAACCGAAGAGAAAGAAAAGCACTGATGGAAACATTGAATCTAAACCAGATTGATGTAGGAATTGCGCAGACTATTCTATCACTACCAATATCTGAGACTGCAAAACAGTTGTGTATTAGCGGTTCAATGTTTTCATAGTGACGCGTAAATTGTAAAGTATACATGTAGAAGATACAATGGGGTTGACATGTCCACATAGACAAAAACCCCTTATCAACAACAGATTTAAAAAAAAAAATATGTTATGGTACCAAATTCAAATGACGCTCTATCTAAACATATAAAATTACTTGCCCTAACTGAGTGATTCAACAACGCAGAGCCGGACCCAGTTGGGTTACAAACTTAATTTTTTTTGGCAGCAATTCTTTGTATATTGTAAGTTCCCACTAAGAAAAGAATTTTGAAAATTTGACTTCTAAGGGGGTTTAATAAAGGGTGAACAGTTGTATGGAAGTTCATCATATTCAAAGTTAGAGTTTAGAGACACGAAGTAAATAATAATCACGCGAACGGAGCCGTAGGCAAAAGCAATACTATAAAAAGGTTGATTTTCGACTGTCGGTGATAGCCAATCGTCATTGAACGACATTAATTTATTCATCCCGTGGGTGCCGTACGAGCCGATTAAGGGAAAAAATTACGCAGAACAACAGCACTGCAGAGAGAAGGAAAACTTGACACAAACCCTATACCAAACCGTCTGGCCAGCGTGGTATACCTAGTAGGCCAAAACCTCCTTTCTAAGGAGAGGCTTATGTCCAGCAGTGGACTATTAAAGGCTGTTGATGATGATACATAAAAATTGGAAACAACTTTACTTTTACATAGTTCAATCAAGGAATTCAGTTAATAAACATGTTTTACAATATTAAATTGACTTGCGAATAAAAGTAGCCGTGTAAAGTAGAAAAAGAAACCAATTAATAATTAACCGACAAAAGCGTTCGTTTGTTAATGGTTCTGAAAATCAAAATATTAATACTCGTAGAAAGAGATTAAAAATAATTAAAAGTAAATAAATTTTGTATCGAAAATAAAATACTCGCTGTCACGAAAATATATGAATCACCAAAACTGTGTTCAATAAAAAATGTTTTTCATTTCATTAAGAAATATCGGTATTCCTTTTTTATTGGTACACGTGACATTAGAAAATTACAAAAAAAAACATTACAAAAGTTAGCGAAGAAATTACTAAGAAGAAAGAAAAAAGTTTAGCTAATTAACTATTCTTTTTCATACTTCTTAGGTTCATTCACGACAAACTATTGTTAACAATACTTTTTTACAATTATTGCTTTGTTCATTTTTATTTGCAATATAAAAAATATAAATAAATATCGTGTAATATTCATCTCGAGTCAATATTCCACGTCAAGAATTTGTAAATAGATGTTGCTTGTTTTGTACATCATCATTTGCCTGATATCCGAGTGTAATTAGCAATTTAACAACTAATTTAGTAATTTAAATTACTGATAAAATACAAAAAAATATCTAGGTATATAAATAAAAATGAAACGCCAAATATGTTGCTAAACTAAAAGCTAGCAAAAAAAAATATATTTTTGCATATTTTTGTTAAGGCGTCACTACTGCCTCTGCCTCTGTGCGTGGCATTTTGTACATTACTGCTTCTGTGCGTGGCATTTTGTACATTACTGCTTCTGTGCGTGGCATTTTGTACATTACTGCTTCTGTGCGTGACATTTTGTACATTACTGCTTCTGTGCGTGGCATTTTGTACATTACTGCTTCTGTGCGTGGCATTTTGTACATTACTGCCTCTGTGCGTGGCATTTTGTACATTACTGCTTCTGTGCGTGGCATTTTGTACATTACTGCTTCTGTGCGTGGCATTTTGTACATTACTGCCTCTGTGCGTGGCATTTTGTACATTACTGCTTCTGTGCGTGGCATTTTGTACATTACTGCCTCTGTGCGTGGCATTTTGTACATTACTGCTTCTGTGCGTGGCATTTTGTACATTACTGCTTCTGTGCGTGGCATTTTGTACATTACTGCTTCTGTGCGTGGCATTTTGTACATTACTGCTTCTGTGCGTGGCATTTTGTACATTACTGCTTCTGTGCGTGGCATTTTGTACATTACTGCCTCTGTGCGTGGCATTTTGTACATTACTGCTTCTGTGCGTGGCATTTTGTACATTACTGCTTCTGTGCGTGGCATTTTGTACATTACTGCTTCTGTGCGTGGCATTTTGTACATTACTGCTTCTGTGCGTGGCATTTTGTACATTACTGCTTCTGTGCGTGGCATTTTGTACATTACTGCCTCTGTGCGTGGCATTTTGTACATTACTGCTTCTGTGCGTGGCATTTTGTACATTACTGCTTCTGTGCGTGGCATTTTGTACATTACTGCCTCTGTGCGTGGCATTTTGTTAGTTTTTTTTAATTTTTGTTTCTCTCAAACACCACAGACCTATAACTTTTAACAAAACGAAGTTAATAATAAAAACAGTCTACAAAGATTTATGTAGTACAGCTTTAGCTTTAATTTTTATTACTTTTATATTTATTTAACTTTTAAGACTACATCGGTCACATTCTATTATTCGTTTATAAATAAAGTATGGACATTACACAACCCATTCTCATCAGTATCGTCTTCTTGCTTTTTTGCAAATTTCTTTAAACTATCATATACACAGTCTTCCTAAGGAGAGGCTTATGTCCAACAGTGGACTATTAAAGGCTGTTGATGATAGTCTATAGACAAAAACAAATTAGTCAAATAGTTTCAGGTAAATTCAAATGGTACTATTACAGACTTCACATTACTGTAAATCAGAAGGATCCACAATAATCCATAAATACCAAGCCCCAGACAAAATTTAACCGTGTTGAAATTAGTAAACTGATTGTCTTTGAAAAATTATAAATCAACTTCTTGAAAATAGAATCACTAATTATGTCAGACTTTAAAACTATACCTACATAAAAACTTATAATTTTGTACGCTTCTGCATGATTCATAATACATATACGATACACTAAAGTTCTTGCAATTGCGACTTAGAATGTAAATGACCCGAATTTGAGAAAATGTCATACCAGATCGACTGCACGAATGGCGTAGTGGTTTAAGCGGTCGCCACGTCGCTTCCTACTGCGCCGAGTGTTGTGGGTTCAAACCCCACATGGGATAACACTTTGTGTGATCTACAAATTGTTGTTCTAAGTCTAGGTGTACTGTGTGTCGGTTTCATGTATGTTTGTAGCACACATCAATCACACTTTTGCTCTCACTCGAATCTTTTAAATGGACTGGTCATTTTCAGCCTCCAACATTTCTTATTTTACAAGACTTTCTTTGTCATATAAATATTAATCTTAATGTATAATCTCCTAATCTATGCAAATAAAATAAATAAAATTGAAGTGTCTGTTCGTAGTGTCGAAATTATAGGTTTTTTAATGCTCACACGGTTATTTGCACGATACCTATGCCTAAATTTTTTTTTGTCTGTCTGTCTGTCTAGTGCCGGGTAATCTTCTAAACGGTTGGACCGATTTCGATAATATTTTATCACCAGGTAGCTGTCTACATAATGAATAACTTAGGCTATTTTTCCTCTCAGAAAAACGCTTCAAAATTTTGCCCCGTCCAGGCATCGAACCCACTAAGTCAGCGCTTTTCAAATTGCACGTGAACGAAGTCGCGCGTACCAGCTAGTACATTAATTTACTAAGAAAGACATAACATAATCAATGCCAGTTACTTCAGTTACAACTTTTTTTTTTTTTTTTTTTCCAAAATCGAAGTGAGCAACATTGTTCATTTTTTTTTTAAGCGAGCAACATTGTAAATTGAGAGTGTATGTAGTAAGAGTGGTTAGTACAGACTGTCACAAGACTTACTCGCAGGAATTTAGAGCCGACATCAGCCTTTACATTGTAACATTAACGGTTCGTCGGTCGGTGGGATCTCTTAGTGAGGGTAAGGTTTAAAGCACTTTAATGTGTTACAACAGAGATCTAATGTCCCGTGTCGTCACACATTCACGTGACGTGAATTTAAGCTCTTATGTTATTAAAGCTCTCTGAAAAAAATCCTTTTCAAAATGAATACAGAGTTGTATAGTATATATATGACTGCCTAGATGGTGCAGTGGTAGCGTATGTGACTGCTGTGCTGCTGTATTGGGTTCGTTTTCCGGGTCAGACCAAATGTTAGTATTATTTGTAAATATTTGTTTCGGAGTTTGGATGTTTTCTATGTATATATTTATAAAACACACGTATATGTACGAGTATAAGTATTCTTTCAGTCAATCTAGCTCTCATAGTAAAAGCTCTGCTTAGTTTGAAACTAGATGGCGTTGTGTGTCACATGTCCGATAAAATTGTCACAAATTTTTTTATTACTATATATATATATATATATATATATATATATATATCGAAGCAACTACAAACTACCTCACTTAATAAAAATAAATTCTCGATTCGATTCTAATGGATTATAATTGAAGTTTTGATAGTTAGTGTTAAGAAATAACCAGAAGAATCATATTATCTAAACACAACAAGCAAACACAACACTTAACCTAACAACATGTAAACACGTGCGCGAACAATGTGTCCTATAAAAACGAGATACATTGCTCGTACTCGACCATTCTCGCTCGAGCCGTCGGTACTTTGTATACATCTTTAATTGGATTTACTTTTCGTCGTTGTTATTTACTACTACTTGCTTTATAAAGAAAAACCACGACAATCTAAAGCTGACTTCACTCTATTTAAAAGCAAACCAGACACCAAAACAATGTTATGGTATATTTAATAATGCCATTGTATCTATCTGTAAATTGCAAAAGAGTGGATATGAGTTTGTTTGCCCTTTCTTCTGATAAAGCTCAACACGGACGGTTGTAGATCGGCACAGACATATCATAGATTTTGTATAAGTTTTTTTTTTTTTTTTTAATTGCTTACTATTTGACAAAACAGAGAATATTGCTATTGTGTGTATTGTTCTATAAATTTAAAGTCTACACAAAAGACGTCAACAATTTTATTTTCATGAATGAAATATCTGTAAAGTTATTAAAGTAATTATAAAATATTTAAGTCCTATAGGGAACCACCCTTTCACTAAAACCGCTAAAAATAGTATATTGATGATTTTTTTCTATTGTTTTGTAATATAATTCCATTGACTATAAAAAAAAAAAATGGTCTTTCATTTATAAATTATTAGAATAGTGTTTCCATATTATTTTCTGGAGTCTTAACTTGCCTACAGAAACAATATTTTACTAGTTAATATTTAGTAAGAAGCTCAATTATACGTATACCATCGTAGATAATACGTATATCCCGTGTGTGAGATGCCTCAAGTAATAAATTACAATTCATCTTCAATGGATATTACAAAAAAATAGTGGTCTTTGAATAAGTAAATGAGTAGTTTTATAGTTCCTAAATATCTGTGCCTGTCAATATTGACAAATTACTTGACAAGGTCAAATAGGTCAATGTATAATACGCTGAAATCACGCGATAATTTTTTTTACGCGCGTTGGGTGTAGCTGCTTCTATCACGTTGTTTATGAGTTTCCTTTTTTTTGCGTTTTAAAACCTCCCAGGCTGTCACTCACCGGGACTTGTAATAAGGCAGTGTGTCAGATTAGGACCGAATAATAATAATAACAGCATACTTGCAAAAAAAAAATACATACTAAATATAATAATAATGTGTGTAGTAGTGTCCACCTAAATAGGCTACAGATTAGCATGTGAAAAGGTGGTACAGTGCCGATCCCCTTGACAGTTGCAGAGAATTTTATGGCACGATTTAAAACGTTAAAAAGTGAGTGAGAATGTGTTTGTGTGAGGGTGTGTTTCTGTGTGTGGTGAGTTTATGTATGCGAGTATGAGTGAAGTAAAACCACACGGTGTGCTACATTGCGCCTTAAATGTTATATGCCTTTTACACGGTGGGCAAGCCTTGACAAGTGTCCAGAAGCACTCTTGGCTCGGCTTGTCATCGATCGGGACTATAGTCCATCAACGTCGTGCGCGACCATCCTGCGGGGTGACAGACGGTGGCGGGGACGAGGTACTCAAGATGTCAGCGGGTAGCGGGTGATGTAGCGGGGAAGGGACACACTTCTCTTCGTGTGTAGCCGTGTGCTAGAATGACGCGCTACCTCGCCCCGTCTGTCACCCCGCGGGACGGTTGCGCACGAGATTGCCGGGTTATAGAGTCGATGTCTACGCGCACCCACGGCCGGGTCTGTCCGGGAGAGGTTGCGACGTGCGGGGCGCAACGAGGGACATCGCGAATGAGGATCGCCGCCGGCACTCGGCTTCTAACCAGCTGCGACTGCGCATACAGTTATTATTTCACATCACATCATCATGTCAACAGCCTTTAATAGTCCTCAGAAAACTCTCCTTAGAAAGAAGGTTTTGGCCTACTAAAGTTATTATTAATCGGTCTATTAATCAAGACATTAAATTACGTGTCGAGTATTTTAGAAACGAAGTTTTATTTGACCGTAGCCCAGCTAAGACACGATTTAACAGTCGGATTTTTGAGGATAAATCAAAGGAAGCTTGCGGCTAGCGTTTGTATTGTATTTACATGTTGGCGCGTGCTCGTTCTCCACTGCTCAATTTGATATTATTGTTGTATGTTTGATATTATTATTATTGAGCAGTCGGGAATCAACATTAAGTCTCAATGTTTTACTTGTTAAGCAGTTTAATTGAGCAGTAGGGCTCGAAGCTTTTGTTTTAGTTTAGTGCCGCTATTTATATGTTGTATAAAAATCGGTCCACGTCTGATATGTTTGTCTGTCCGGAACACACTTGCAAGTGTGTAAATGACATCCAATCGTTTGTAAAGGATTGGAGCTGGTGGACGTTTGTCAAACCTTGGCACGGATGTAAACTAGACATTACGAATCTGGAAAGAGCTTTTAGTAAGACATCCAGACCCTGCCCTGCCCGCAACCACACTATTTAGTACTTGGTATTTATTTGTTTGTTTGAGAAGACTTGTTTAAATCATATTATTGACTGGCTTTTTAGCTTAATGGTAATTTTTACAGAGGAATGGTTAGAGTTTGGAGGTTATGACATTGTAATAAGTACGGTTATTCGTTTTGTATGTATTTATAACGAGTATATTTGTCAATAGTCTGAGTAATCTGCTCTGCCTAGGTCTCTGGTGCTTTTCGTGTGCTCTTTACATTACTGTACTTTTGCCAACATTTGTATTCTCCTATGTAAGAAAGGATTAACTTAATCATAGGATAGTTGGCGCTCCACTACTGTTCGCTTTTCGAGACACTTTTTGCCCACACAACCAATCTGTGGAACGGGTTATCGTCTGCGGTATTTTCGGACCGATACGACCTTCAA